CAGCCTTGTGCCCTGTCCAGGGTATGCCCAGCGTTGTGCCCTGTCCAGGGTATGCCCAGCGTTGTGCCCTGTCCAGGGTATGCCCAGCGTTGTGCCCTGTGCTGCCTGGGACCGGCTCCAGACCCCTTCCAACCCCAAGAGGGTAAATATTAAGATTTATAGTCTCTGAAATTGTTGATGTAGATGTCAGCACAGATACTACCAACAATTTAGTCTCCTCATTAACAAATATGTGACAGATACACCACCAGTTCTATCACCAGTCTACTGAAACTGCACATTGAGTAAATAATGGAGTCTACAGTGTCTGCATTTCATTGCTAATACGGGTGTCAGTGGGCAGCATAATGGCTCAGTGGGTAACACCGTGACCTCATCCCTCTAGGGTTGGGGTTTGAGGCCCCCAACTGAATTTTCTTGTTGTGATCTAGAAGTATCTGGTTAGGTGAACTATTGTCTCTAAATGGCCCTGGAGCAGACCAGAGGTGGAAATACCAGGTCCATAAAGTAAAAACCCAGACCAAGTTTTTGCTTCAGCCAACCAGTTGAGCATAATAGTCATTGTCACAGAGTACTCAACTTCTTGGTTAAAGCAAAATTTTGGTTGGGATTTTTACTTTCTGGACCTGAAATTCCCACCTCTTCAATGGACTGGCAGCCTATCCAGGATATTCTCCTGCCCTGCAGCCTGTATTTCCCTAGTTAAGTTCACTATAACCCTATGCTGGATAAGTAGATATGGATGATGTGTGGATGTTTGTGCCTTATTTTTCCATTAAGAAACACATTGATGTCTTGATCAATCCATTTATTTACCACTTGTACCTGAAGTGCGGAGTTGCTTTTCTTCGTGTTGCGCTGGCGATTAGCTGACCGCCTAGAAAAGACAAAGGAGGGAACTGAAAATTTTGATGACAGTCTGGGAGTTACAATGAATAGAATAGAATAGAATATTCCTTTAATGTCCATCAAATTTACATCATTGACTACCTACACATCACTAAGAACATCCCAATCGCTGCAGAATGATTAAAATTGTGCTTTTTAAGAGTGAGAATTTTAACTTCTTACATCTTTATCACAATAAAACAAAATACATTATTATTGGATATTCATAGTATATTTACACTACCGTTCAAAAGTTTGGGGTCACTCAGAAATTTCCTTGTTTTCAATGAAAACATACATGAATTGAGTTTGTATAGCTAAATCGATAGGAAATAGTCATTGACAAAGTTAGAAATAATCATTTTTGAAATTAAAATAATAATTGTGATCTTCAGACTTTGTTTTCATCAAAGAGTACTCCATTTGCAGCAATTACAGCCATGTAGACCTTGGGCATTTTTTATGTCAGTTTCTTCAGGTAATCTGATGAGATTCCACCCCGTGCTTCCTGAAGCATCTCCCACAGGTTGGATTGGCTTGATGGGCACTTCTTATGTACCATTCGGTCAAGCTGCTCCCATAACGGCTCAATAGAGCTGAGATCCGGTGACTGTGCTGGCTACTCCATTATACACAAATTACCAGCTGGCTGCTTCTTCTCTAAATAGTTCTTGCATAGTTTGGAGCTGTGTTTGGGTCATTGTCCTGTTGTAAGATGAAATTGGCTCCAATTAAGCAACATCCACAGGGTGTGGTATGGCATTGCAAAATGGACTGATAGCCTTCCTTCTTCAAGGTCCCTTTAACCCAGTAATCTCCCAGTTCACCATCACCAAAGCAGCCCCAGACCATCACCATGCTTGACAGATGTCGCTCCTCCAGCATTTTTTCACAATCTCACAAATGTTCTTCTTTGTGATCTGAACACCTCAAACTTAGATTTGTCTATCCATAGCACTTTTTGTCAACCTTCCTCTGTCCAGTGTCTGTGTTCATTAGCCCATCTCTTATTGGCCATCCTGAGATACGGCCTTTTCTTTGCAATTCTGCCTAGAAGTCCCAGCATCCCAGAGTTGCCTCTTCACAGTTGATTGGTATTTTGCAGGTACAATCTAATGAAGCTGCCAGTTTCAGACCTATGAGGCGTCTGTTTCCCAAACTACACACTCTAATATATTTATCCTCTCCCTCAGTTGTGCACCGGGGCCTCTCTCTCCTTTTTCTATTCTGGTTAGAGCCAGTTTGCACTGCTCTGTGAAGGGATTAGTACACACCATTGTACGAGATCTTCAATTTCCTGACAATTTCTCGCATGGAATAACTTTAATTTCACAGAACAAAATAGAGCAACGAATCTCAGAAGAAAGTTCTTTGTTTCTGACCATTTTGAACTTGTAATCGAACCCACAATTGTTGATGCTCCAGATACTCAACTAGTTCAAAGAAGGTCAGTTTTATTGCTTCTTTACTCAGCACAACCATTTTCATCTGTGCTAACATAATTGCAAAAGGGTTTTCTGATGATTAATTAACCTTTTAAAATGATAGACTTACATTAGCAAACACAACATTCCACTGGAACACAGGACTAATTGTTGCTGATAATGGGCCTCTACACCTATGTAGATAATCCATTAAAAAACAACCATTTTCAGCTATGATAGTTATTTACAACATTAACAGTGTCTCCACAGTATTTCTGATCAATCTGATGTTATTTTAATGGACAAAAAACTTGTTTTTTTTTCCCCAAATGCAAGGACATTTCTAAGTGACCCGAAACGGTAGTGTATACACATGCTGACAGTGGCTGGTTCAATGACTCTGTGATAAAGCTTTTCGATGCCAAGACATGATTTTCAATCCTGGCATCATATTGGTATGTTGGCGTCAGACATGATGGTTCATTCTCCTCAGAAACAGCCGTCTGTCTTGGATTTCCATGCACTATAGTGAGTTACATGACGGAAAATGGTGCAACCTACATCCAGTCAGTTCTGTGGCTGGAATTCCCTTGCTAATGTGAAAGGTCAGAGGAGAATAGCTAGACTGCATTAAGTTAACAGGAAGCCCACAAGTGGAAAAATAACAGCTCTGTATGACAGTGGCATGCAGAAAGGCTTCTTTAAATGCAGAACTTGTCAAGCCTTAATGAAGCTCTCGAGGCAAAATCCCCTAACTGCTATTATGTAGCTGTACTTAATACAAAGGCTACAATGTATATTTTCAGGTACAAGTTTGACAATATTTGATAATGAGTTCTGCGGGTTTCATTGAGGAAGCTTTAATAACATGAAGGAGATTCCTCTAATCGCATGCTTGACTATACTGGTTCTCCTGTTCTGGCTACACTTCATTCCAGAGTCATGGGGAAGCTGGAAAACTGCCCAGACTGGTTTAGGAACGGAGGCGTCTTGCTGGCTAAGCCTAGAGGAGGAGGCTGTGCGTTTGTGGCTAAACATGCTGACATCACTGATGGTCTCTATGGTCACTGACCTGCGGCAGTGGGTGCACAGTGAGAGCAGCATGACTGTGAGGAAGAGGACGGCAAGTGTGGAGAGCGAAGGGGCCTCTGGGAGGAGGGACCCCATCACGGCGAGGCCCATGCTTCCTGTCCCCAGCAGTGTCACAGCACCACGCCCACCCTGCAGGTGACACCAGAAAGACAGGCTCAGGGTGACCATTTATCCCCTAAGGAAAATGAGAGGGGCCCTGTTATACACACTGTGAAGTAAAAACTGCAGCTCATTGGCTGTATATTCATAACTTTAAACCATCTGCCATCTTCATGTCCAGGTGAAAATTTAGGATGCTGAATATGCCCAGTAGGGCACTTACTGCTGGACTCTTAAAAAATACTTTGATAGTATAGTATAATACTATAATATATAATGCAGTATAATATCATCATATAAGAGTATCATTAGCTAAGCCAGCGTTTCCAACTCTGTCCTCAGGGATCCTGATACAGTCCACATTTTTGCTCCTTCACAGCTCTCACCCAATCAAGAACAGCAAATACCTATGTTGGGAGCTGGGAGGGAGCAAAAATGTGGATTGTCCCTAGTTGGGGACCCCAAGGAAAGGGTTGAGAAGCACTGAGCTAAGTAACTAAAGTTACATACACATACACACACACAAACACCTGGATGCCAGTGTGTGACTATACTATAGTTCACTGTTGAGGACGTGGTACGATTGTCAGGCATCCTATGTCTAGGAGAAGAGCTGCAGAGCACGAATATGAAGGAGATGGATGGAGCAGTCGGGCAGATGGACAGCCTGGGGTTCACTGTGCCCTCAGGGCGGTGTGCAACATGGCCTGCCCCAGATGAGAAGCTGGCTTGTGCAAGGCATGAAGCATAAGGTTGGGGTGAAGCCTCTGTGTCATGTTTACTGCCCAGGAGGGAGGGAGCGAGTGAAGACGTCCATCAATAGGGGAAGGTCGGCTGCTGACATGACGGTTTGAGGATAACTGTCGATCCCATTGAGAGCTTATCAATGAGGTCTGCTTAGTAGATCAGAGGCAACACAACTGGAGTACCTACAACAGCAGGCTGCAATACTACTAGACTGAATTCCTTATGTGAACTAATTCATTGAGTACACTGTATAGGAGGAGCGCCCAAACCCCTCACCCCATGCGGTTCTACACAAGGCAGAAATAACATCTCAAACAGAAAGTTCCTGCTGATAAACCAGCAATGGGTAAATCTAAACCTCTCCCTCCCCGTCTACGCAGCCACCGTCATTCCAGGTTGGCCGTGACTCGTGACACTATATCTCTTAGGCGCGAGTCAGAATGCTAACAGCTTCCGTCGTGGCATGCGCGTTTCAGATGTTTTTCCGTGTGGGGAGGAGGAACGCAGGCACGGTTCAACAGGAACCTTAGGAGACGAAAATAGAGATCTTTTAAAAACAGGAAAAGAAAAAACGTTCATAATAAAAGGCATGACTGATGGTTGGTGGAGAAAATAGGGTCCAAGGTGAGGAGTTTATGTCAAATGCACTGCTGGAGGCACCAGCAGTTATAACTCAACTTCGTTTTTGGTTCACATGGTTGGGTTATTTTATTTTAGAATGTAAAATATGAAATATTTTGTGAACTGGCCTTGTGCCCTATGCTGTTTGGGGTAGAATAGAATTGAATAGCAAAGCCTTTTTAATCTTTGTGGGGAAATTCTCTGTCTGCCTTCTTGCTCTCCATACAGGTGAGAGGAGGGACTAAGGTTTGAATCCTGCCCCTGCTCTCTCTCCATTTCAGTACCCCACTTACCTCCCACAGGACAAAAACATGCAACTCGAACTATTAGGGTCAGTATCACAAACATGGATTTGAATAGATAAGATGGATAACTTGTCGGATTTAAGGTAATCTGGGATAAATATGAATGAAGATGTAGTCCATTTGAACTGGGGTACCTTAAATCTGACAAGTTATCTAGCTAACAAATCTCTATTTGTGATAAAGGCCGCTTGGTGTCTCTAAGGCGTTCACGGTGTAAGTGCCCTGTAATGGCCTGCCTTCACATCTAGGGTACGCTGCCCTGTAATGGCCTGCCGCCACATGTAGGGTGCGCTGCCCTGTAATGGCCTGCCGCCACATCTAGGGTGCACTGCCCTGTAACGCCCTGCCGCCACATCTAGGGTACGCTGCCCTGTAACGGCCTGCCGCCACATCTAGGGTGCGCTGCCCTGTAACGGCCTGCTGCCACATCTAGGGTGCGCTGCCCTGTAACGGCCTGCTGCCACATCTAGGGTGCGCTGCCCAGTAATGGCCTGCTGCCACATCTAGGGTGCGCTGCCCTGTAATGGCCTGTCTCCACATCTAGGGTGCGCGGCCCTGTATCGGCCTGCCACCACACCTAGGGTGCGCTGCCCTGTATTGGCCTGCCTTCACATCTAGGGTGTGCTGCCCTGTAACACCCTGCCACCACACCTAGGGTGCATTGCCCAGTAATGGCCTGTCTCCACATCTAGGGTGTGCTGCCCTGTATTGACCTGCCACCACATGTAGGGTGCGCTGCCCTGTAACGCCCTGCCGCCACATCTAGGGTGCGCTGCCCTGTAACGCCCTGCCGCCACATCTAGGGTGTGCTGCCCTGTAATGGCCTGCTGCCACATCTAGGGTGTGTTGCCCTGTAATGGCCTGCTGCCACACCTAGGGTGCGCTGCCCTGTAATGGCCTGTCTCCACACCTAGGGTGCGCTGCCCTGTAATGGCCTGTCTCCACACCTAGGGTGCGCTGCCCTGTAACGCCCTGCCGCCACATCTAGGGTGCGCTGCCCTGAAATGGCCTCTCTCCACATCTAGGGTGCGCTGCCCTGAAATGGCCTCTCTCCACATCTAGGGTGTGTTGCCCTGTAATGGCCTGCTGCCACATCTAGGGTGCGCTGCCCAGTAATGGCCTGCTGCCACATCTAGGGTGCGCTGCCCAGTAATGGCCTGTCTCCACACCTAGGGTGCGCTGCCCTGTAATGGCTGGGTTACTCTCCTTGGCTTGTCACCCTAGTAATTCTGGGTTACTGGTTAGGCAGCCTCTGCTTGTCAGCCTAATCCATTACACACGTCAGCCATGAAGGGACCGGAATTAGGTGTCAGTAAGCAGGCTGTGAATTAAACAGCACCATCAAAGTCTTGCAGCATAGATGAAGTGAAAGGGATCTGGTTGTCTAATCCTCATCTGGACCGTAACAACTACATTTTTATGGTTAATGGTTATGACAGAATATTTAATAGAACCTTTAAAAAAATACATATTAAGCTATATAGTACAATTACAACGTAATATAATACAAATAATTTAGCAGTGTTCTTTCTGCTTCTTCTGGTCAGTCAGAGTAATACAAATAAATTAATTTAAATTGCAATGCATGTACTTAAATATTAAAATACATAAATATATGTATTGTATGTATGTAGATGTATTATATTTAAAATGTTTTGTCTGCTATGCTATGTACTTTCTTTGCCTTGTATAATAAACATAGTATTTCATGTTAGATGACAGGTCAGCGTTAAAAGCACTTGGCCTGTACTCACTGTGTACACTGGAGGTGTAGTCCCTAGTGGGGGTGTCAGTGCGCTCCCCTGTCCGTGAAGCTCCCTCAAGCACCTCTCCTGGCTGCCTGCTCGCTGCCAGTCAGTCTCTTCCTAATCCTCCTCCAAGGAGACGGTGTCCTCGATCACTTCCTCATTCTCCCTGTCACGCTCACACATATCTGTCATGCTTCTGACCTCCCTCTCGTGCTACTGCTAGTAACCTGACAAGTCTGGGTGACTTTTCAAAACACAGTGAATAGATTTTGCTAAAGGAATAAAACATGGTGCAATAGTATGTTGGAATGACTGTACACACCCTGCAGGGCTAAATTAAAAAAAGAGTAAACTTTTCCCACACCGTCACACCCACCCCGACGGCGCTTAGATTCCCTCGTTAGCTTGAGGGTCTTGCCACCCCTTGTTGTTTCCTGAGCCGACACATCGGGTCCAAAGTGGGCGTTTCAGGATGCTGCGGATAACAGCACTGCCATCAAGTATATTCACTGCCTTTCACCACATCGTTAAAATCCCCTCATGAATTTGTTTAATGATTATTTCCATCGTTATCCTCACCACAAGCAAGCATGCTGTTATAACTATGACTAAAGTAATGAAGAAACACAAAATAAAAAAAAAACATCCTATAATGACTAACCCCTAGGCTGGAAGAATATAACGCCATGTTTTAATTTTATAATTTAAACAAAGAGTAAGGTCTTACAAAAGAATTCCAAACCTTGTTATATATGGTTATATTATTTTTATCCTTTATGACTTTTTTCTGCAACATCCATTTAAATAATTTAATCATTCATTTAAAACATTGTCTGCATGTTTCAAGATCTTTACTAAATTATATTAATATAGTCAATAAAATAGCTGATAATACAATGTTAAAAATGAATCACACACTCACACCCTTGACTTTCTCCTATATGTGCTATATGTGCATTAAGTTCTAGTCCTTGGAGCCGATAACAGAATGTCACCCATCTCTGTCAAGTTGCTTATCAAGACCTACATCCCATCTTGTCCACTTCAGTCAGCCAAAACCTCCAGGATATCCCTCAACCACAGAAGAAACCTCACCCTATACATTTCTGACGTGTGGCTCCCTGATGATGGAATGAATTGCCAAACCCACCAGAATCTCTCTCCACCTTCAAGAGACACATTAAAACTGATCTGTTCTGCCTAATACCACTCCATGTTCCCTTTGTTAGCCACTTAAGTTCCCTGATTGTTCTTTGCCGTTTGTCTTTTGATTGAATGGCCCGTGAGGTTCTTGCTATATTTGAAAGATGTTGTGTTGCTCTGATACTACTTATACTTTTTACTGGGCATTCATTAGACGCTCAGCCAGCTCTGTGTGTCATGATTTGAAGGACGAAGGACTCGGGGGCAGGTGTTTCGGTGAAACAGAAAGACGTTTTACTGAATCAACTGAACAGGGATGGTAAACAAACAGGATCGCAGGGGATCAGAAACAGAAGTAGAACAAGGAAGGGCACAGACAACAGAAAGGTTTGACGTCAATGACTGGACTGGGGAACACGTAACCGGGAAGCATGTACACTCACCTAAAGGATTATTAGGAACACCATACTAATATGGTGTTTGACCCCCTTTCGCCTTCAGAACTGCCTTAATTCTACGTTGCATTGATTCAACAAGGTGCTGAAAGCATTCTTTAGAAATGCTGGCCCATATTGATAGGATAGCATCTTGCAGTTGATGGAAATTTGTGGGATGCACATCCAGGGCACGAAGCTCCCGTTCCACCACATCCCAAAGATGCTCTATTGGGTTGAGATCTGGTGACTGTGGGGGCCATTTTAGTACAGTGAACTCATTGTCATGTTCAAGAAACCAATTTGAAATGATTCGAGCTTTGTGACATGGTGCATTATCCTGCTGGAAGTAGCCATCAGAGGATGGGTACATGGTGGTCATAAAGGGACGGACACAATCAGAAACAATGCTCAGGTAGGCCGTGGCATTTAAACGATGCCCAATTGGCACTAAGGGGCCTAAAATGTGCCAAGAAAACATCCCCCACACCATTACACCACCACCACCAGCCTGCACAGTGGTAACAAGGCATGATGGATCCATGTTCTCATTCTGTTTACGCCAAATTCTGACTCTACCATTTGAATGTCTCAACAGAAATCGAGACTCATCAGACCAGGCAACATTTTTCCAGTCTTCAACTGTCCAATTTTGGTGAGCTCGTGCAAATTATAGCCTCTTTTTCCTATTTGTAGTGGAGATGAGTGGTACCCGGTGGGGTCTTCTGCTGTTGTAGCCCATCCGCCTCAAGGTTGTGCGTGTTGTGGCTTCACAAATGCTTTGCTGCATACCTCGGTTGTAACGAGTGGTTATTTCAGTCAAAGTTGCTCTTCTATCAGCTTGAATCAGTCGGCCCATTCTCCTCTGACCTCTAGCATCAACAAGGCATTTTCGCCCACAGGACTGCCGCATACTGGATGTTTTTCCCTTTGCACACCATTCTTTGTAAACCCTAGAAATGCTTGTGCATGAAAATCCCAGTAACTGAGCAGATTGTGAAATACTCAGACCATTGTCCATTGTCCATGACCATGGTTGGTGCCAGACCATGGTCTGGCACCAACAACCATGCCACGCTCAAAATTGCTTAAATCACCTTTCTTTCCCATTCTGACATTCAGGCAATGTCAGGGCCGCATTAAGGTACACAGAGGCCCCTAGGCTACAGTATGTACACAGAGGCCCCCCTCCGCGCCAATGGGGGCCCCCTTGCAGGCTGGCACACGTGGGGCCCCTAGGCTTAAGCCATATCTAGCCTGTGCGTTAATCCGCCCCTGGGGGCAATATGTATTCAATGGCTATTTTATTAGGAACACCCGTATACCTGCTCAAGCAAATACCTAACCAGCCAATCATGTGACAGCGGCTCACGACAAGACCTTCTCAATGGTAAGATCAAACACCAGAATTGGGGGAAAAAGAAAAAGTGTTATATGAGTGACTTTGACCATGGCGTGGTTGTTGGTGTCAGACGAGCTGGTTTGAGAATTTCAGAAATTGCTGACCACCTGGGATTTTCATGCACAACAGTCTCTAGTTTACTCAGGATGGTGTGAAAAACAAAAAACATCCAGAGAGCGGCAGTTCTATGGGTGGAGATGTCTTGTTGATGAGAGATATCAGATGAGAAGGTACAGTACAGTAACTCGAATAACCACTCTTTATGGCAGTGATGAGCAGAAAAGCATTTCTGAATGCACAGCTGGAGATGGATGGATTACCACACCAGAAGATCACTCCATGTCAGCCCCACTAAATCACACTGACCTGTATCATACTGTATCACAGGTTCCTCCAGATTTTTAGTACTGTAGTACAAATGGACAGAAGTCGTCAAACACCGCCCTCTAGAGGTCAGCGGTTATGTTACAGCATTAAACACACATACTAAACCTGGCAATTAGCTGGTGAGCTGAATAAGGTGTGTTTCAGAAGAGAAATCTGCAAACTGTGTTGCAGACTGGCCCTCCAGGACCGGAATTGGGGAACCCTTTTATATACCAATTCTACCACTACCAAATTAATCAATCCATCCATCCGTCCACCAACTTTGGCAGCACAGCATCACAGAGTTCACTATGAAATGTTCTGATTTATTTTATTTCTTGGCAAACAATGTCTTAATATGACATGTACAGAGAAAAGTGACCATCTAATGTCACTGCATTGAAAATAGATATTCAAAATCAATGTCTTAAAATTATGAAAGCTAAGATAAGTCACTCTGTGCAATAGCATAAGCATGTTCAGATCCTAACAGCATGATCATTTACTGTTAAAAGGAAGCCTGCATATGAATGGCATTCCTGTGTTTTGGGAATGTCTGAATAAGGGGTCACACTGTAGTGTATGAGGTCTTTCTTAAAGGGATACTTTAAAGGTCCACTAGCACCTGTGCTAACTATGCTTTTGTCAGTCATATAGTTTGCCTTTTTAGTTTCCATTTATTATCCTAACCTTTACGCAGCAGCACATTCTTTGACAGAATGGATTTTTTTCTACTTTCAGTCAGAATACTGTGAAATCTCGTGCTACGCTGGCTAACCCCCTTCAGGTACCCCCCCACCTCCAAAGGAAGTTATTATGGGCATGATTCACAAAAATACTGTTGTCCAGTAGGCCTTGAATGTAGACCAAGGATGAGAATAATCAGGATAAGAATGTTTCATTGACTGTACACAAAACAATGAATTAGCATTGTCAAATCCATTCCAGCCTGTGCTATGTAGCTTTGGGCTAATGCTAATATGCTTGTACCTTGGTTGAGGTAAAGGCACGAAAAGCATACTCTCAAAGCAATAATAATAATAATATCCTAAGAAACCAACTCAAATACTCTTTTAATCACTAATTTGGCAATATTTTTACATTCCTAGTAACACAAATACACAGAGTTAACTGTTTAAAAAAATTCTGGTTATATTTAAAGACACTACAGGCAACAGTACACAACTGACACACATAAATTCAGCATAAAGGCTCATTTCTTCATATCTCAGCACCAGCACAAGGCCAGTCCATCGCAGGGTGCACAAACACACACGTTGGGTATACCTATCCTTATGGGGACCGCTCATTCATTTCAATGGGAAAAATGCTAACGATAACTATGACAACCTTAACCCTTAACCCCGGTCCTGGAGAGCTACTATCCAGTAGGTTTTCTATCCTACTTGGCTTCTGATGAGCCACACCTGCTCCTGGTATTTACCTGAGAACAGGTGTGGCTCATGAGAAGCCAGGTATGATAGAAAACCTACTGGATAGTAGCTCTCCAGGACCAGAGTTGGAGACCCCTGATTTAATACATAGACTAAAATACATTGTGTTGCCTTTATTCAGACTGTCTTTTGAGAAATGCATTTAAAAAGAAATTTACAATTTAAAAGATATATATATTTTTTAAACTGTACCAGTACAACTGCTGTATCGGTTCAAACAGAGTCTCTTCAGATTAAAACACGAGACCATATTCCAGTGTATTCTCCGCTCTGTGCTGAGCGGATTCAGAGAGCAAAGAATTAAGTGGTTCGATGATGCCTAGAATGAACGGAATGTGCACAGAGTCAGGGTGGAACAGTTATGTGACTAAAACAGTAAACAGAGCTTATCGTGGCAGAAAGTGTGTCATGAGATCTGAACAGGATGCGTGGCATTCTTAAAGACAAACTGTCACCATGGTGAGCTCCAGCCATCTCTGCTGGACACATCTTGACGTCACTAAGTGCATATATGTGTAACACTGGCACTCTGCACCGTCCCCATTCAATATCTGCCTTATGCATCCTAGTGGTCATTGTGAGAAGGCACAAGTCTAATTAAGATAGCTTTGCTATCTTAGCATTTGGCTTATACTTCCGGCTAATCCATCGGGCGTAGCCCCGAATCGAAAGATCCGGCAGTAATCTGGGGCTTCCCAGACAGACCCCTGTAGCCTTGGCTTTGTGTCTCTGAGAAGCCTGCATGTGACGTCACTGCCACATCTTTGAAGCCTTTCGTGGCTGTCTTGGGTGACACTGTGCATTGTGATTTTGGGGCTGGTGAGCTCCCTGGAATGAAAATGTCGGCAAATCAAATTAATACTACTACTACTACTAATAATAATAATAATAATAATAATAATAAATCAACAACAACAATAATAGAGATTGAGGTAAACATACTGATCTGTGTTTTAAGCCCTAATCTCATAAATAAAGCCCATAAATTACTATAAATGCATTGTAAACGGTTTAAAATGAAATCTGTGCATGTCCCCCTTTGTAGGGTGATGTCACTCCTCTTTCCTCTGCAAGCGTCGCTGCACCACGGCGCACATGAGCACTGCGGTCACTGCACTGCACAGCACCAGCACGCCGTAGGAGGCGGCAGCCAGAAGCAGCCGGCCCTCGCCGTGCACCTGCACCACCGACTCCCGGCGGGCCACAAAGTCCTCCAGCAGCGCCTCCTGCTGGCAGAGCGTGCACAGCACCAGGAAGACGTGGAAGATCTGGTGGCCGTGGCCCACGATATCGCAGCGGCCCGGGAAGAGGAGCTCGGGCAGGGGGCAGGAGAAGAAGAAGGTGGCCAGGATGAAGAAGACGACCTGGAGAGCATGGAAAGGCAGTGCCGGGTCGCTCCAGGAACCCGTGGCCAGGCGGTGAGCCACGGGACTGATGACCAACAGATACTCCAGGCCAGCAGGGATCAGCTGGATGAGCTTCCTCTGCAAGGGGTACGGGCAGCGGTAACGGAGCTTGGCGTAACAGCAACTGGTGCAGGACAGCCAACCAAGGAAGGCAGCGGCGGGCAGGAAGACCTCCCCCACAATGCTCTGGCGCCAGGCCGGCTCGGAGCTGTAAAAGTAGTGTGCCAGGGCACAGCCATACTGGTATATGCCGACGCCCACGTAGTCCAGGAAGAAGAGTGCGTAGTGCGCCAGCTCGGAGCGTGACTGCAGCAGGTGGGCAGCGGTGCTGAACAGCAGGTAGGAGATGGCTGACAGCACGAAGAGGAGCAGCGGCAGCGCGACGGGATCCGGTGCCACCGCCGCCAGGCCCCAGGTGCCGGCGAAGACCCAGCAGCGCAGCAGCACCGGCAGAACGGCCAGCAGGTGCGTCCACACGTTCAGCGACTCATTGTGCCACTGGAAGAGGCTGAGGAGGTAGCAGTGCCAGTCCTGGCCCACGGCCCGGTAGCCTGACAGGATGTAAGGCTCACGGAAGAGTGCAGGCACCTCGGACGCCTGCACGGTGGCCCTCAGGGAGGGGAGGGAGGGCAGGGCATCCAGAACGCGGGGCAGTCGGCCAAGCTGCTGCACGCTCAGCGACAGGGTGCTGATCCGCTCCACGACCGCGCTAGACATGGCTGGCCCCCCCCACCTAAACAGGCAAAAATACAGTTTTGGGGGGGACTTTCACAGCTGCTGTGCATTACATTTAGTTGCACTTGTTTGCACTTTATGTACTGCCTTACATCCCAGCTCTACAGTCCTTGCTGCTGTATGTACTAGAATTTCCCCCTGGGATCCATATAGTTTGTCTAATCTAGTGTAGTCAATTCTCAGGTAATAGACAAGCCAGGAAATGGCTATAAATAAATAAATAAATAAATAAAACAAGAAATTGACTCTTAAAATCTGTGTTTCGACATGACATATATACCTGAATCCAGATACCCAGTTCAAAGGAGCAAATGGAAGAAATGACACCTTGTAGCACATAGAAAGAAAGCGTACTCGAAAATCAGCCGTCACATATTACAGCGTGAATAGCTTTGGTTTCTGCCAAACCTGCACCTCATTCCCAGCTGCCCTATCTCAGGTTTAAGCCCAGGCCTTTGTTGGAGAAAAATATGCATTACCGACACAAAAGATAATTACAGCGGGCACCTGGGTAACAAATTTGCAAAACATGAGACTCCCTAACCATTCGGGTGACCTTAAGCAAACACGTTCCTCGGGTGAATCACACCCTGCAAGTCAAACCAGTCTGACGTCAGGTATTGCAAACCAGATAAATCAGTAGCTTGAACAAAGGGAACAAAATTGCTGTAGCGTTAAAACTTGAAAAATGTCAGCTATGTCTCGTACTCTAAATATGTCTAAGACCAATAAACTACCCATCCATTATAAAAGAACAGATACAAATGTTTTAATGTCCTTGAGAGGTTTTCAAATATACAGGGACCGCGTGCAAGGGCGTAACATTTGGGGGGTTGAGGTCTCCACCCATTAAGGGGGAAACATGATTATTGGGGGGGGTTGTATTAGCTGGTTTTGATTTCCCCCCCATAATTAACCCCCATGACCGCGTGTAAATGGCACCCACTGCAGGCTGTACGGTCTCTGTCTGGCGCTGTACGCTGCCTGATACGCCCTCCTGAATCAGATTCCGTCAGTTATTTTAATTGCACTGCTTTGGTGCCGTTTCTTATAAATATGGTATAAGTATGCATAATTGATAAAGGGATTACTGATACAACTATTTCACAGTGCCGGACAGTCCCTATGATTAAATTAAAAATAGTACATGAACCGATGAAATGTGTGTATGCATGTATAAGATCAACTGATAACGTTTTATTCCAAGATACTTAAAGAGACAACACATGATACACGTACACGCAAATCCACTTTTAGTAATGACATTTTTACAGTATTTTTAATATATAATTAAGCGTTTAAATAATAGCATAACCACGACTTTAGTACAGACAGCGGATATTTGCCCACCAAAGTGTCAGAGATGTTTTACCTGGATCTTCTCGTACCTCTGCCTGGTGACTCGGGAGACAGCGAAGTGACCTGCACCTCTTAAGCGGAGATCACTTCACCTGTCGGCGGGACTGCGCACCCCTCCCATCCCGGCCCTGTCCCAATTCGCCTCCCATTTCCCACACGTCGGATTCAGCGACGGATTACACAAAGAGCCGAAATGAAGTGAATTTTAGTTATTTGGTTGCCGTTTCTTTTGTACGTCGAGTATGGCTATTAAACTATGTTCATAATACTGATTATTTTGTACTAATTCTCATTCTTATTAATCCGCGCATTCTAACTATTACTTCTGGCTTTGTATCACCAGTAACATATTGTAAGAATAACTTATTGTCTTCATTAAGGCTCACACATTTGCCTGTACACCACAATGTAGAACTATAGGACCAACTTTCATTATCTATTTATCCAGATTTATTGGGTACTGTATCTGAGTTCTCTTGAAAACCGACATTGTTCAAGTTGTGAACCTTACAAGTCAAATTCAGAGGTCTACTAGTCCGCCTCCCAAATTCCGGCCGCGACATGTTTTTATTGGATTAGTACATGTGGCCGGGGGCGTAGGAGCCGGGGAGAACGTGTACCGCCCTATAGTTAATTTCGACAGAGGAAAAAGAAACCTCGTCTAATCCAGCTATTCAATGTCGGCGAACACCCCCTCCCCCGGCAACCTTTACCGCCGGCAAACCCCTATGCTTGGCACGCTCCGCCTTACTTCGTTTGTCTTTCGGTTAAAAAAATAGCTGAAATGGCCCTATTAGGAGTATAACTCCTACCGACGGCCACCAGGTTAGTTTTGAGACCCTTTACCTAAACAAAGTAATTTGGCGTTGGTAATTAAATTACCAACTTAAATTACGCATAACGTCCAATGTTTCCCTGGGTAAAGCATGTTTATCAAGGCATATGATGAACGCTGCCTATTGCACTGGTTTGCAAATTCTGTTCGATTACTTTTTTTGCTGTTACGTTGTACATTAGATACTTCCGAAGAAGTACTAATAAAAGGCAACCATTTTCTGAGCTTTTCGCGCGAACTTTTCTGGAGGCGGAGAATGGGAAGCACGAGCTTTTAAAGCGTGGGTGACTGCGCTCGAGGATTGGTCAAAATCTTCAAGCGCGCCGAAAATGCAAATATAGTGAACTTGTGTGGACCAATCATGAGCCGGAACGGTGTGTCCCGGCTTTCTTTGTGGCGCGAAAGCTCACTTTCTTTTGGTTGAGGGGGCAGGTAGTTTGCTGTGAGCTGAGAAAATCAACTAAAAACTGTTATTTTTTTTGTTCTTCCTTAAGTAAAATCTCGATTGCGAAATGGCCGCTGAAGTCGTGGATAATGAAGAGATGAGACAGGCGCAGCGAGAATATTTGGATTTTCTCGATGATGATGTAAGTCAGTCTAAGTGCCATTGAGTTCTGTAGCAGAGAAATATTCAATGAAATCCCCACGTTTGCTTTGTAAAATGTTGTTTGTTGTAAACATGCTTTGAAATGTGATTGTAGTTAAGAATCTGTCTTATGTTTATCCTGTTATAATGAATGGCAATAACTAACTTGCTTTGCAATGAGAAACAGCTCGTTTAGTTGGACGCTCCGCATGCACGGTTTAGGAGGCCTAAAATGGCTACTCGGCTTCTCTTTTGGCTTTTTCAGTGAAATGTTAGCATAAGTGACCCCACCTGGTCACAAATACAACAGAACTTACCCCTTCTTCTATTTAACGTTTGCAGCAAGACCAAGGTGTCTATCACACCAAAGTGCGCGACATGGTTAGTGACAATAAATTCCGACTTATTGTCAACATCAACGACCTGCGGAGGCGCAACGAGACTCGTGCTGCACGGTGGGTTCAGTTTCCGGTACCAAAGAACTGTTTACTGTGTACAGGTTAAAATGTGATACTTTACATGTTCACTTGGTACAATTTTATAGTGGTTAAGAAGATTATGTGTGTTTCGTATGCGAGAAAAACTGATCAACGTTGGTATATTCTTGGCACATTTTAAATGTGATTGGGCAAGTGCCAGCTTTGTGTGTATCGGGCCTTCTGACCCGGGTCTGGTTCCGAAAGGGCCACTGATCGAGCCCTCCCCCTTTCTCAGGCTCATGAATAATTCCTTTGAGGAGCTCCTGGCCTTCCAGCGTGCCTTGAAGGACCTGGTGGCCTCTGTGGATGCCACCTATGCGAAGCAGTACGAGGAGTTCTTCGTGGGCCTGGAGGGCAGCTTTGGCAGCAAGCACGTGACCCCCCGCACGATGACAGCCCGTCTCCTGGGCAGTGTGGTCTGCGTGGAGGGCATTGTCACCAAGTGTGAGGCTCCTCTGCTGTGTTGTTGGGCTGGGGGGTGCTGAGCTGCTTTGGCCCAAACTTATGCTCGTCTGTATTTAAAGGGGAAACCTGAATAGCCCTGATACTTTTAAACCGAAGTAGTTTGTTGTGAGATGTGATCCCTGGGGCCTGTATCCCAAAGCTGGATTTCTTGCTGAGCTAGATAACTTGTCAAATTTAAGGTACCCAGTTTAAAGGGACTTTATCTCTGTTCACATACATTTAGCCCAGATTGCATAAAATCTGGCAGTGAGTGAGAAGTCCTGCTTCATAATGCAGGCCCCCGAGCTACATGTAGATGTCTCACATGGACGTCTTGCAGGTTCCTTGGTGCGGCCCAAGGTGGTACGCAGCGTCCATTACTGCCCCGCCACGAAGAAGACGATGGAGCGCAAGTACACAGACATGACGTCTCTGGATGCCTATCCGTCCAGCGCCATTTACCCCACAAAGGTCTGTGCTGTGCTGTCTGGTCTCTCCCAATCATCCTCAGTGTGATAGTGTATCCTGAATCAGGGCAGGATACACTGGATGTGGATTTGGAGCAGCGTGTGGGTTAGGATGCCGTGGCTGTGTTCGGAAGGTTGTTGGTTTAAATCCCTGTCGCGGCAAAGTAATTTCACTGTTGGGGCCTTGAGCAAGGTCCCCGACCCAGATGGTTCCAGGAAGTAACTGCCCCTGCTTTCTCAGCTCTGTCTCCTTGGATAAAAGCATCTCAATCTATGTAATGTAGATTCTTAATAGAAATTGATAAGAAAGGGAGGGATTTGGGCATCTTTTTGATTTTTCAGGATGTGCTAAATTCTGTGTTTGGGATAATGTGATATTAGGGGTTTCCGTGTTGACGGAAGTCTGCGTGATGCGCTTTCAGGATGAGGAGAACAACCCCCTGGAGACGGAGTTTGGCCTCTCCGTTTATAAAGACCACCAGACGATCACCGTACAGGAGATGCCTGAGAAGGCCCCTGCCGGCCAGCTGCCGCGCTCTGTGGACATCATCTTGGACAACGACCTGGTGGACACCGCCAAGCCTGGAGATCGCGTCCAAGTCATTGGGACCTACCGCTGTTTGCCTGGGAAGAAGGGTGGCTTCACCTCCGGCACTTTCAGGTTAAACTTCAGCTTAGGGTGTTAGTTGGGTATTGCGCACGTCGCTGCCATATGACCCCCTGTGTCCGTATAGTCTTCACTGAGTACAAGGTTGTTTGGAATTTACGGGGAGATGAATTCTTTGTGTTTTTTCGGTTCTGTCCTCCAGGACCATCCTGATTGCCTGCCATGTGAAGCTGTTGAGCAAAGAGGTGTCTGCATACTTCTCCGGCGATGACGTGGCCAAGATCAAAAAGTTCAGCCGGTCGCACTCCAAGGTGAGAGGGTGGGGGGCTGTTGCAGTGACTGGACAGAGCACAGAGCTGAGGGGCTTCTTAGTGTCTCAGTAGAGGCGTCCGTCTTTTAGACAGGGTGCCTGGCCTGAGTTTGCTCGCAAAGCATCCAGCCCTGTGTGTTCAATATAGGTTGACCAACATCAGTATTGTCCAGGCTGTCCACTTAATGTAATCACATTGTCTTAGATCTGAGGCATAATGGGATTGCTGTATGCGGTATCTTGGGTGGGTTGTTGGACAGCCGTTATGTAGGACCTTCTTCCCTGCAGTTGTTTTCCAAACTGCATACTGTGTACTGCATACTGTAACCAGTGTGTACTGCATACTGCGTATTGATAGTCATATCCAGTACACCAGCTTTTTTTAAATGATTTGTAGCATGGTCCGTTTTAACACGACCTCCCTGTGCGCCTTTTAAATTCGTAATGACCATTTCCCACAGTCAATGGATCATTTTCAACCAGTGTGCTGCAATACCTTGTTAGGTGTGCCAATGGAAAACTGTCAAATTCTACAAAAAAGGTCATTAAAATAATCAAAAATAATTGGATAACTTGCCTAAAGCGCCACATCTGTTAAGCCCGCTGTGTATTGAAAGGACAGGTACACTAATAGGACTGAATAGAATTGAAGCCAATCAAGACAAACGGCTATATACACAAATTGCAAAAGAATGTAATACTTCAATAAATACATTACAATTTATAACTATGCATTAATGCATAGACTTGGATAAATTAATCAAAATGATGGTAGCATTTAGTTCCTCCTCTTGCAGGCCATGATTAGAGGGAAGTATTTGACGTGTAGGGCTGCTAACGTTAGCTGGCTCACTGACGGGTGTGGGGCTGCTAACGTTAGCTGGCTCACTGACGGGTGTGGGGCTGCTAACGTTAGCTGGCTCACTGACGGGTGTGGGGCTGCTAACTTGTTTGATCCTATTAGTCTGACGTTGGTTTGTTGTACTTTGTCTTTACTCTTAAAAATAAAAATAATACAAAAGAAAACCGTATAAAATTTTCAATAAATTATTTTCATTTTAATACTGAGCTGTCCCTGGTGCCTGTGAGGTTCCCCATTACCCCCCCCCCCCCCCCCCATGTTAAACAGTCAAAGCCAGGCTGTGATGTTCTCACGTTGCATTGTGGGATGCAGTGGGTGAAGCACAGATCTTGCACATACTGATATTTACAAAATCTGTGTGATGTCTGGATATCTTAGGTGTACTGAGAATTTAGTACATACTAAAGTATGTACTAGTGGAATAGTACGTGTTTTCACAAACAGCCTGTGTCTCTGTGGTGTTTAGCCCCCCTGCCTCATTATGATGTCATAGTGGTCCTCTGACTCCCACTGACTGGCCCTTTCAGGACTTGTTTGAGCAGCTTGCCCGGTCGCTGGCTCCCAGCATCCACGGACACGAGTACATTAAGAAGGCCATCCTGTGCATGCTGCTCGGCGGGGTGGAGAAGGTTCTGGAGAACGGCTCCCGCATCCGCGGGGACATCAACGTACTGCTGATGGGTACGCCGGGCGTGTGGGCGTGAGCGCGGGGGCCTCGGCCTGGTGCTGGTCGCAGTGCTGACATGCCTCATCTTCCCGCAGGTGACCCCTCGGTGGCCAAGTCGCAGCTGCTGCGCTACGTGTTGCACACGGCCCCCCGCGCCATCGCCACTACAGGCCGCGGCTCCTCCGGCGTGGGCCTGACGGCCGCCGTCACCACTGACCAGGAGACGGGTATGTGGGCTGGGAGGGGGGGCGGGTTTTGCATTTCAGCTGCATGGTTCTGTAAACTCCGCCAATAGAAAGAGCAGCACTCCTTGGGTAGGAGTATTCAGCCTTTTGCTTACCAGCACAGTGTGGCGTTAAACTGTAAAACCTCATGCATTAACTGTTAAATCTTTTATTGCTGCAGTTTTGAAAATACCCTCCATTTAATTTAGCTGAGGCCAGTCAGCCCTGGAGTAGATCGCTAGTGAACCGTGTTTAATGAATCATCATCTGCTCCCTGCCGTAGAGGTGAGCGGTTGATGATTCCGCTATTAAATATCGAATTTTAGATTTTACTGTGGTTAGTGATTTTAATGAGTCACTTTGTGTGTTAATGATGGGGTACAGTAAGGGGGCGACGTGGAGGTGCTGATTAATGGCTTGTAGTCTGTCATTTGCTTAATGGTCCAGTCCAAGGTTAATAGCTCAATGAATCTGCAGAGTGAAAGCACTGAGTGACACTGTGTGTGGCTGGGGGGGTGGAGCCAAGCGTGACCAGTGTGGCCCCTCCCTCAGGTGAGCGTCGCCTAGAGGCGGGTGCCATGGTGCTGGCCGATCGCGGGGTGGTGTGCATCGACGAGTTTGACAAGATGTCCGACATGGACCGCACGGCCATCCACGAGGTGATGGAGCAGGGCCGCGTCACCATCGCCAAAGCCGGCATCCATGCCCGGCTCAATGCCCGCTGCAGCGTGCTGGCCGCCGCCAACCCCGTCTATGGCAGGGTACGTTCTGCCAGGGCCCGAGGGCGTGGGTCTAGCTTGGCAGCAACACCAAACTCAAGTGAAACTCTCCTCTTCCAGTATGACCAGTACAAGACACCGATGGAAAACATTGGGCTCCAGGACTCGCTGCTCTCCCGTTTCGACCTGCTCTTCATCGTTCTGGATCAGATGGACCCGGAGCAGGACCGCGACATTTCGGACCATGTGCTGCGCATGCACCGATACCGGAACCCCGGCGAGCAGGACGGCACGGGTGAGCAATGGCTGCCGGCCCGACCGTAACCAGTTTGACTTGTCCTGCTGATACGAGTCGCGTTTGAGACCCACGTGTGGCGTGAGTCAGCTTGTGACTCCAGTGACGTCTCTGGCAGCCATGTCCCTGGGTGGGACAGTGGACATTCTGACCACCGAGGACCCCGACGCTGGTGAGGACGAGCGGGAGGAGCTGCAAGTGTACGAGAAGCACAATGCACTGCTCCACGGCAGCAGGAAGCGCAGGTAATGCGATGGCTGCGATCTGTGTTTCGTGCGATTCCCGGTTGGCTTTGATAGCTGGTACCCAGCCTCGGACGCCACGGATAGTCTCGCGCTGTCTAATCCTAGGCCGTGCTTTGGTAACTTCTAGGGATAAGATTGTCAGCAAGGAGTTCATGAGGAAGTACCTCCATGTGGCCAAGCTGATCACCCCCGCGCTGACGCAGGAGGCGGCCGACCACATCGCGGAGGAGTACTCGCGGCTGCGCGGCCAGGAGCAGCTGGGCTCGGACGTGGCGCGGGTGAGCAGCGGCCTTCCGGAAGCATTTTGGATCCTCGTCTTGGGGGAAACGCTCTTTCACGGAGCAGTGACCTTTTAAAGTCAAAAGTTAAAAGGGCTTTTTCATTCGTCATGCAAATGAAAAGTAACAATAATAATAATGCATTTTATTTAAAGATGCCTTTCAAGGCACTCAAGGACACCTTATAAACACAATATACACAATATAATCTTGTCTATTATGGATATCAGGAGGGAGAGAATTCCATAGACTGGCGGCAACATGACCAAAAGCTCTAAATCCCATAGTGGACAGGTGAGCACAGGGCACAAGGTCTGAGAGAGCGGGAAGGAGTGTGAATATGTGAGAGATCAATAAGATATGAAGGAGCAAGATTGTAAAGGACTTTGAAAGCGAACAGTAGAATTTTGTGATCAATACGATATTTAACGGGAAGCCAATGAAGTTGAACAGGACTGATATGAGCCGTGATGGGAGTCCTGGTAATATGAGCGGCTGCCTTCTGTACTAACTGGAGCTTATAAGGAGCTTGAGAGGTAAACCAGATGGAATGGAATTACAGTAAGCAATACGTGATGTGACCAGGGCGAGTAGAAGAATGGCGCTATTGGCAGGTATGTAAGAGGCTAAATATTGCGGAGGTGAAAATATGCAGACTGGGTAGAATAGAATATAAATACTGAGACAAAGATGGATGGATGTATACCCTGGAGGGAAATACTTTGGCAAACGGTACGACAAAGCGATTCAGTCAGTGATTTGCTTACACAAAAAAGAACTAAAAGTTAACAAAGGAATTTAAGTGTAAAAGGAATAAGTACAAATATACAAACAAGCTTTGTGCCGACAGTACTGTACACTAATGAGTGGCTGCAAATGCAAAAGGGATGTGATCAGGCCATATTGATGTGAAATGTGCATACAGATTCACTGCTGTTAAATAGGTGGAGAAAAACATCTTTTTAAGGACATTAAGATGTAGACAGTTAACCACTTGATTTCAACAGAGGTTTGGCATGAAAGCAGACTGTACAATAAATAGATTTAGTTTTGGAGCCCAGTGTTACAGTGTTAGTGTTAGTAATCCTTTAAACAGACCCCTTCTTGGGCTGGGAGGGGCAGGGTGTTCAGCAGTGAAATCGTGTGTTTAAGCCTCACTGTTCATAAGCAAGGCTGGATCATGGTCCTTAACACGTGACCGTCCGCAGACCTCCCCGGTGACGGCCCGGACGCTGGAGACGCTGATCCGGCTGTCCACGGCGCACGCCAAGGCTCGCACGAGCAAGGCCGTGCAGCTGCAGGATGCGCAAGTTGCAGTGGAGCTGGTGCAGTTCGCGTACTTCAAAAAGGTCAGTGGCTCATTCACGCTAATTCCCTGACACGCCTCTCAGGCTGTGCTTATTGTTAAAGGCTCTACTCGTTACCTGACTGCTTTGCAATGTCAGTCGATTCGGGAAGTGAGGATACCATTCGGATGGCTGAACTCTGTCAGATCTGCTAAGCAACTGCCCTAAACGTCGTCTGTTCTATACTGATGCTGGTCTGTGAAAGGCCAGTAGACGGAACATTCAGCCAGTGTTACCAACCTCTGATTCTCCTCCCTCAGGTTCTCGAGAAAGAGAAGAAACGATCCAAGCAGACAGATAGGGACACCGCTTCAGAGGATGAGGACGATGAAGGGGACGTTCCATCTCCTCCAAGGAGGAAGAGGTGGCTATTACTCTCTGTCCTGCCCCTGCACTTCAGTCTCTTCGTCTTTTGACTGACGTCGACTCAATACCGTTTCCCTTCTGTTAAGGGCTATGCTTGTTTGCTGATGCAGTTCTCATTCCCTGTCTGTAGGGGTCGCCGTTCGGAGCGTCGCCCTTCTCAGGGAAGTGAACCCTACGACCCTTATGACTTTGACGGGCAGCAGGAAACTCCAGAAGGTGGGACCGGCAGCATCTCTGATCCCTCCATGTCGCCCTCTGGTGGCCAGTGTATGACTGACTTCCCTGTTTCTGTCCATGTTCAAGTGCCGACCCCGAGGGCCAGAGACGAGCCAGCGGAGACCCCAGAGAATGGTGAGGCGGGGCTGTCTGCAGACAGGTCAGTATGGGGGGGGGTATGCCGCCGTCTTGAGTTGTAGCTGCTATCAGGCATAGAAGCACACAGATGGTTCAACTGATGACATGTAAAATCTGCAAAAAAGGAACATTTGGGAATTGTGTCATGCCAAGTATGTAATCGCATGCAGCTTGTCTGTCTCTGGCAGCATCTTGAGGATGCATTAATTTAGCTGAAATGTACTGTTTGGGTTCACAGTTAAGATGCTCATAGTTAATCTGTAGGTTCAGTGTAAGGCTCTGCGTGGGGGGGGGGGGGGGTGTGTATGTGCCCTGCCGTCAGTAACAGGTGCCTCTCTCCCTCCCCAGGCTGAAGGCATTTAAGGGGGTGCTGCTGGAGGCTTTCCGCTCGGCCCATGCTCAGTCCATCAGCCTGACAGCCCTGAAGGAGGCCATCAACAAGGATACCCAGACCCCCTTCACTGCCGCCGAAGTGGACTCTGCCCTCGGTCGCATGCAGGACGACAACCAGGTCATGGTGTCCAGTGACATCGTCTTCCTCATCTGAGTGGAGGCTGTGGGATGGGAGCGGAGAAGGAACAGGGCTTCCTTCCAATCCGCAGGGACCTGAGCCGCACGGATATGCCTGATGTGGGCTGTGTGCTGGTGACGCTGAGCGCCGAGTCTGTCACCTGACCGCACGTCTTACTTTATAAATGTTCATGTCATGCAGTTTTAGGAAAGAGCGACTCATTGCGTGTTAAGGAGCCTGCAGTGTTTGTTGTGGTTTTTAAGCATTTTAAGGTGTAAATGTAAAGGCCTTTGTACATATTTTACAGGAAGCTGGAGTTTTAATCCTGCTGTTGATGTTTTAGTAATCTGAATGTACAAAAATGACTGATGATATATCAAAAGAAACTGGTAAATCCCCCTCTTTCCCCATCTTTTTGTTTTATTCTCACCCGAAGTGGTGGTATTTCTGGAAATCACCGGGTTCTCCATTTGTGGACAGTAGGGGGTGCCATTTCGTCTAATGCTGAACAGTGGATTTCTTTGAAAAATGCTTTAAATGCAAACAGTAAAATACAGAATTGTCTTCAAAATAAATTGTCTGGTTTAACTGGTTGTTTATGAGAATCCAGCTGAATGGGGGGGAATGGGTTGTGACACTCCTCATGGTAAAAGAAAAACAATGAAGGCATGTATTTTTTTTTATTTACTTCTGTATCTCAGCTCAGTTGTGCCATCTCCCCAGAAGGCAGATTTGACCCTGTAGTCACACCATTCATCCATCTTTCATCAGTGTCTGCATAAAATTTGGGTTCATGTAACCCTTTAAAAAAAAAAAAAAAAAAAAAAAAAAAATCTGTATTCGAATTTTCAAATTCCATGCAGACAGCCACACCTTGTTCTAGTGGCGCCCCCACCTGGTGTCCCCAGTAACTACTCCCGCACCTTCATTTTAAATTATGCTCAGCGGCGTCATTTTGTGACCAGTTTACTGTGTGGGGAAAAATGGTTCCCATTTAATTTCATGGTAATTAGGTCTCTGATTTCACCCTAGTGATTTAAATGCACTAGGGTCATAAATAGCACTGTACCTGAATTTTACACATGCTATGTATGCTTTGAGTGCTATCCAAATGTTTTTCTACAAAAGTATAGAATAGAGTGATTTGGGCTTACAGATCTAATTGGTGCAATCTTTTTGTGCCTTACCCCCCCCCCCCCCCCGATTTACATTGTAAACTAAAGTTATGTTAAACTTCCAGCAAAACACCCACTGTGGTGATGTCCCCAACAAGGACTGATGTAACAAGGAAAAGTATTGAAGTTGGTTGTTAAGGCTGGAGTCTCTCTCCAAACCCCTCAACTTATCGCTGAGGATCTTTAGGGTTCCTTGGGTATAAAACTGCACAAGTGATTAATTCTCCGGAAGAGCTGCTGCAAACACCCCCAGTTTCGGTGTGTGAAACTCATGAGCAGTAGGCGTGTTTGCCTTTGCTGGGTAATGCTGTCATCTAGGCTGGTCTGGTGGTGGCTTTTCCCACCTGGCCAGTGTCTGCTAATTACAGGAAGTGTGGTCTTGCGTGTAAATATTTATATGGTTATCATGGTGTGGGAAATAAATCTGAAATTTTGTTAACTGGAGTGTAATCAAGAAATGAGTGAGTTTGGTCTGAGTTGCCGGGGTTCGTGTCTCCAACCACAGGCTCCCCCACGAGCCCTCAGAGGTAGCTGATGCTGCAGCCCTGCAAGCCGCCTCCGGCTTGGTTTCGCTTAAGAGGCGCGTGGGCTGGGCATGCTGCATGGCCGGGTCGCTGCAGACTGGGCGTGACCTTGGCTGCCCTCGCTTTCAGTTCTGGTGCGGCTGTCTTCGGTTGCTTGTGGTTTGATGCACCGTGACGTCTCTGCTTTCTCTTTACTCCCTGCTGTACTCGTACCCGGGTTTGGCGACTCCGCTGCGTCTTGTAGCCCTGAGGCTGCAAGCGTGCCAGTGCCCACCCCCCCCAACACTCTGGCTGCAACAGTACGTAACACAACCCTTGCTGCAGGTCACATGACGTGAGCATCCCAGGAAGGAAGGAATCCCACTCTGTGAGAGTGAAGCTGATTTGTTCTGCTGCAGGGGGTTCCTGATGACAAGCAATATCAACCAGGATCTGTTGTAATCAAGCAATCCGGGCTGATGGATCCACTGTTGGGACAACAGTGTCTTAGGGAAGTAATTGTTGAAGTTCTAGTTCATTAATTGGCGCTACAATGCTAAGAGTAAAGGATTTTACTTATAATCAGTTGTGCACATAACTGGTACGCAAGTACGCATTCACCTTTAAGAACGATACGTGCAACAATCGATTGTTTGTAAAAGCGCAAATGTGTACTTACGTGCATTTGCACTGCTATGAAAACAAAATATAATGCATTTAAGTCTTTATATGCTAACTCGACTTCATTTGCGGCATACGGATTAAAATGCAAGGTATTTTTTTGTCATAGCAGTGCAAATGCACATAAAATAACATACAATCAATCATCGCACGTATCATTTTTAAAGGTGAATGCGTACTTGCGTACGAGTTGTGTGCACCCCTGCTTATAATGAATTTTTTTATTTATTTTTTTTTGTCCACCACCCCCCCTCTTCGGAGGACAACTTTATGTTTAATTACAACATAAAATAAATAAATAAATAAATGTTTACATTCACTTTCGAAATTTTTTTCTGAGGGTTGTATATGTCTCCATGGAGATTGCCCAGGAAGATTCATCATTCATGTCAGCACTGTTGTCAACCAGTTGCAAATACTTCTGTTCTTTTGGTTATGCTATGCTTGTTGCATTTCCATTTTTGGAGTTTTCTGCCTTTTTAATTGTCCCCGGTGTGAGTAGACAGCACAGGCCCTAAACCTGCCAGGAAGAAGGGAAGGAAGTGGTATGCACTTCTCTCAGCCTATGACCTGCTGGGGTGGCAGTGAAAAGGGCATCTTGATATCCCCGCTGGGAGAATAAGAAAGGGCAATCTTAGTTTTCTGGCATGCTGGAACTAGGTTTGCAGTCTGTTTTATTAACAACCGACCGCAGGTATTATGCATGAAAGCGACAGACCATTCTTGTGTCTCCTTGATAACCTAGCTGGAGCTCATGATTTGTCTCTTTTCTGAAACAATCGCGTGCCGGTTGAAATTTGTGCAGAGAAGCTACCGTGACGTTCCAGTGATACATGGTTTACACCTGTGCCCACAGACAAACGGTTTTTCACTTAGCTTTTTTCATTATGATGGACCTGTGTTTCTGCTGTGTCATTCTGGGATGCTTGTTAGTATGTTATACATACATATAATTTTACTGTACTGCTACACAGTGACCTTCATAGGTTTCTCGTTAAGAGGCTGACAGTATTGGCTTCTTACTGTGGGGTATTGTTAAAGCCACAGACGAGCACAGGCTTTGTTCAATAAATAAATCCTCCAGTTGATAAGAAGCCATAACATGCACTACGAGGAAATGCAGTGTTTAGAGGAGAGCAGCTTTCGATTGTTTTTTAGCCAAAACTGGGTTAAACGGAGGGACAGAGATTCACATCTGACTGATCAGCGCTCTCGATAGCTGAGCCTGTGCGTTTCACCACCTGATGCGTGAATCATTTATGTAGCTGCAAGAGGATTAGCACATCCCACGCTGGATACCAGGCCGTTACATTGCAGCAGTAAGACTGGCGCACGTCTCAGACCTCTCCTGAGCCTGGAACAGTTTCAGAGATATGTATATATAATATACTGTATAATTCATTTTGGAACAGCAGATACAGGACGAATTCTGTTCTGCTGGCAGTGAACATCCCACTTAAATGACTTGCTGTCTTTCCGAGGGGGTCTTGGGTCTGGGGTGGGACTGAAAGAATATGGAATTAAACCACAGCTGGGGAAGTAACGCCCTACGATGGCTCCCAAGCATCCTGCATCTTCTAAGCTAGGGGTGGCCAATCTTATCCGTAAATAGCCGTATGCAGGTTTTTGGGATAACCTGTAGGTCAGCTGTTCAAACCCAGGTGTGAGGACTCTTCAGCCAATCAGTCCTCTAATTAGTAATCTAATAAGGGAGTTGCAGCGAAAACCCACATACACAGCGGCCCTTTGCTGATAAAATTGGCCACCCCTGTTCTAAGCCTTCTGACAGTAGTGAGCCTAAGCGGCAGCACCATTCAGGAGAAGGTAAAACTCCTGGATAGAAGGAAAGCGTTACGCGGAGGTCGCTCGCCATTGTGGCTTGAATGAATGGACGGTACGATACATCAAGAAGGATGAAAGGAATATGAGCCATATGTTTTTATTTTTACATATTCCATTAGGTATACAGAGAGAGAGAGAGATAGAGAGAAATGTTTGTGTGTATATATATATATATATATACACTGTACTTATACATGACATATTTTGTTATTATTTTATTGTTATTATTATTATGTTATTCAAACTCTTATCCTGACATCCGCATATCATATGTGTTGTTTTAATGAGTTTACATATGTTTAAAGCGTGTGGGGGGGCATTTTAAGGATAAAACTATAAATACTGGCGGCGTGGCTAAGGGTGGGCCTGGGTAGGCCTAGACTGACCCAATCAAATAACTTGATTTTTTTATTGGTAATAAAACTCCATACTCAGTACTTTTCAAACATGAACTACTAGGGAAGCACTTACAGAGAGAGCTTGCGGATTGGCTACCACCAGCTCCGGCCGAATGGAAAGTTACGCAGATGTGTCGGGAAAAGGAATAGAAGTAGTGAAGAAAAAAATTAACAGGTAATTATGGGGGATTATTTATACATTTAATGCATTAATGAATATTGGTCATTGTCAACTTACGACCGGGGTCGGTTCTGACTGACCGGTCTTAAGTCGATTTGGTCGTAAGCTGACCCTTTATTTTATATGCATATGTATAGTACACTGTATGATAAAAATGCATCATGTTTCAGTCTTGTTGTTTGGTGTCTTATTAACCTTTTTAATCACCTTTATACTGTCATACACTCACGCGGGGCCACACTGGAGCTGCCAGACATGCCGCAGTCATGGCCACACATCCACGGTCTCCAAATACAGTCCATCAGTTGTAAGTCGCATAGGCCTAAAATTGTTTTCGTTTTTTGCCGTAGTCGTTGAGACGATCAGCACAGAGATGGCTGTGGAGGCCGAGAGACAAACAGGCTACCCCTCTAGTTCAATAAGTCTGTTAAAGAACTTAATACTTTGCTGTGCTGGAATTTGATTTCAGAACATTACAATGTCTATGGACTATGTCTGCAGATCTATGTCTGCAGATCTATGTCTGCAGATTTGTTATATAACTTGGCTTGGCTTTGTTGGTTGGTTGGCTTAATATTTTATGCAGTCGCTGTGTGTGAAGCTGTTTTCCTCGTCCCTACATCTGTTATGAGGTGCTTGTTCAGATTTTATGCATAGTGTCTTGTTATACACAATAGAGTGGATTGGTTTGATTTTTATTTCTGTTGAGGGATGTGACTAAAATGACAAAGGGCCGTCACTATCGATCATATTATATCGAGCAATCTACGATTCATTGAGCAATCGTTTATATAATATAATATAATATAATAT